AAGTTCAACATATTATTGTGTTTGTTGTTTTTTCTTTCTTTTTTTCCTTTTTCTTTCTTTCCTTCCTTTCTTCCTCCCTTCTTCCCACTTAGGAGTAAGGACATGGTGGTATTTCTCTTTCTGTGCTTGGCTTACTATGTTATTCACCTAACATAATTTTTCCAACATAATTTTCTCCAAGTTCATCCATATTGCTGCAAATGGCAGAATTTCACTCCTTTTTGTGGCTGAATAGCATTGCATTGTGTATATATACCACATTTTCTTTATCTAGTTGTCCATCAATGGACATTTAGGTTAGTTCCATGTCTTGGATATTGTAAACAGAGCTGCAGTGAACATGGGAGTGCAGGTACCCCTTCCACATGATCATTTCCATTCCTCTGGGCATATACCCAGAAGTGGGATTGTTGGATCATATGAGATTCTTCTCCGTAAGTTAAATATTGTTTTCTGTCTAAATTTCACATATTTTATCATATAAGCGCATGTGAATATAACAATCTAGGCATTCTCTAGAGGGTGCTTTCATGATTTGGGTCTCATTGGGCCACAGGTATTTCTGGTTATGTGGAAATAAAATAAGTCTGCTAAATAAACAAAGTTTTTCTTGTTCTTACTTTCTTATGTAAGTTAGAAATAATTATGTTTGGAATATATTTGCCACTGAGTTTCACTACAAACTCTGAAGGGCAACAGCAAGCACATCTATCTAATGGGTTGAAATGCTGGAGATTTGAAACGTTGTTTGGGAATTAGACTTTATGAAAGAAGAGAGTGAAAGAATTCTGAAAAATTGTGCCATCCTTTTTTTTTTTTTTTAAGACTCTCGCCTTAGGTGTTTTTTAAATAGTATCTAATTTTAAATAGTGCCACCCGAAGTACTGATATAACAAGGCACTCCAAATGTAATCATCTCACAGACATTTAAATGAATTCTTTTGCTAGTACTTATCTTGATAGGATTAAGTACTATCTTTATAAAGGAAAAGAGTTGTGAGATATGAGACATTACTAAATAGCAAAAAATATGTATTTTCATTTTATCTTCTTAATCTCTTATTGCATTTCCTCTGACAGCAAAATTTTTGTGTCTAGAATCATCTCAAAACATTAGAATGCTTACCTATTTACATCTAAAACAATAAGCATTTAGGAACTGAAGTAATATAAAATGCATTCATATTTTATAGATTGTTTCAAGAAGTGTCATTGTGATATCAAAATGCACAGACATACTTATTTTTGTATTTCTCATTAATTAGGGAAAACAGACGATGCCAAAGCATCTGAGAAAGGGAAAACTCCCCTGAAAGGATCATCTCTGCAAAGGTCTCCTTCAGATGTAGGAAAAAGCAGTGGAGATGAGGGGAAAAAGCCCCCCTCAGGCATTGGAAGGTCGACTGCTCCCAGCTCTTTTGGATTTAAGAAACCAAGTGGAGTAGGGTCATCTACTATGATCACTAGCAGTGGAGCAACTATAACAAGCGGCTCAGCAACTCTGGGTAAAATTCCCAAATCTGCTGCCATTGGGGGAAAGTCAAATGCAGGGAGAAAAACCAGTTTGGACGGTTCCCAGAATCAGGATGATGTTGTGCTGCATGTCAGCTCAAAGACCACCCTACAATACCGCAGCTTGCCCCGCCCTTCCAAATCCAGCACCAGTGGCATTCCTGGCCGAGGTGGCCACAGATCCAGTACCAGCAGTATCGATTCCAACGTCAGCAGCAAATCTGCTGGTGCCACCACCTCAAAACTGAGAGAGCCAACCAAGATTGGGTCAGGGCGCTCGAGTCCTGTCACCGTGAACCAAACAGACAAGGAGAAGGAAAAAGTAGCAGTCTCTGATTCAGAGAGTGTTTCTTTGTCAGGTTCCCCCAAATCCAGCCCCACCTCTGCCAGCGCCTGTGGGGCACAAGGGCTCAGGCAGCCAGGATCCAAGTATCCAGATATTGCCTCACCTACATTTCGAAGGTAAGAATATGTAAAGTGATGCTGGAAAAATATAAAAGGACACACACACACAATATATATAAACATATGTATTTGTATATATAAAATCCTAAATGTATATTATATATATATACATATGTGTGTGTGTGTGTGTATAAAAGAATCTTTTAAAGTATAGTGGGTTCTGAGAAGCTGACCATATAAATAGCATTTTGAGAAATGGTGCTCAACTTTGTGATTTCACAATCATTGTAATATTAGCAACACAAAGAACAAATATGAGGCACTCAAAAGTAGATGACAATATCTAGGGGGAATGATAAAACGAAGTATCAGCTTGTAGAATTTCTGTAAATTTTCATCCCTCCTTTCCACAATTACAAAACAAAATAAAATAGTTCTTTATAACTATTGGCATTCACTATCAATGTTTGTTATCTTGCTGGTTCTTAAAGAGTTGGTCATGAAAGTAGATGAAGTTGTGTTACCTGTAGCACATTACATTAGACAGATTTATACAGTACCATATCTTGACATATTAAAGAAAATCAACATATGATATGGTTGGCAGAATTTGAAAACGTTCAGATGTTTGATGCTGAATAACCACTGGAGTGGGGGCTAAGCTTTGTAACTCTTCATCAGCTTTCTATGACATGACTCTGGTAAGCCGCATGATTTGGTTTCTGCACTGGTATTATCTTTGGCATTGAATATGTGAAGTTCTGCTCTAAGATATCACTGTTTTTAAATACCAATGTATTCATAATGTCAGGAAAATAAATACAGTTAATAATTTGGGAAAAAATAGTATAACCTTCTGGGTTTGTTTTCTTATCTTCAGAATGATAGCATGTGATTTGTAGTTCATGACATGTTAAATATTTTTAATGTTTGTTTTTATTCTGACTAAACCAAGAACTTTGATATCTTGGAAACAAAGGCTTTTGAAGCATTTACTTTTACATTCAAGCAATCGCAGATATATGATTGTTTGAAAAACTTAGGTTTCATTTTTCAGTAGAAATATTAATCCTGAAGGACTTGTTTCTGAAATGCTAATTCTCATTGGAAAGAATAAATGGCTTGTAATGAGAGTAAATATTTCTGTTGCTTAAGTAAAAGCCAATAGTGCCCTCCTGTGGTCCATTACCTATGAAACAATTTCTCATATTCGTCATAAATTATTTCACTATAGAAAATATGAATTTCATTGCAACTTAATTAGTAATCATTATTCCATTACATCATATCACATTTTTCCATATTTACATAAATTTGATTATATCATCTGCTTCATTTACAAAACTAAAATGTTTTCTGAACTAAACTCCAACAACTAACTTAGTACGAACTATGTTTCAAATCAGTGTTATAAATAATGTATTTGAATAGCTCTGGCAACTGATATAAAACCCTTTGACATTTCAGGGTAAAATGCAGACAAACTGATGTGTTGCCATCAGTGTCCAATTTAGTTTTCAACCAACTACTCCCTGACAGTCACTCAGGCCGCAGATACTCAACATAACTTCCTAAACCCAGCCTTAATCATTCCTTTTAAATTTTCAATAAATTGCTGAAAAGAAAAGAAAACAGAAAAGAGAGAGAAAAATCCATTTAAATGTTATCTATCGAATGCGTAGAAGTTGTTTCATTATAATGGTTCTATAAATAGGTAACAGCAAGTATGGTCAGACTATTTAATTTGAGTGAATGATTCTCATGATCATTTAAATTGTGAAAGCCAGTAATTTTCATGTTTGCCTTTTTTTTGCCCACTACCCCACACCCCTGGGTAGCAGCCCAGTACTGACTTACCCTTATGGTGTTATGAGAGCTTTTCAGCACTTGCTGAAGAAAGTCCAAGCTTATCAAATTCACTAACATAGAGACGGGAAGTGCTTGGTAGCTCAGTACACCCAAGCACACTTGGCTCTGTGTACTGTAACCCTAAATATTCAATGTGGATGTTAGTTTCTGGGAACAACTGAAGTTGTTATTTGTTTTTCTTTTAGGTTGTTTGGTGCCAAGGCAGGTGGCAAATCTGCCTCTGCACCTAATTCGGAGGGTGTGAAATCCTCCTCAGTAATGCCCAGCCCTAGTACCACATTAGCGCGGCAAGGCAGTCTGGAGTCACCGTCGTCTGGTACGGGCAGCATGGGCAGTGCTGGCGGGCTAAGCGACAGCAGCAGCCCTCTCTTCAATAAACCCTCAGACTTAACTACAGATGTTATAAGCTTAAGTCACTCGTTGGCTTCCAGCCCAGCATCGGTTCACTCTTTCACATCAGGTGGTCTCGTGTGGGCTGCCAATCTGAGCAGTTCCTCTGCTGGCAGCAAGGACACTCCAAGTTACCAGTCCATGACTAGCCTCCATACGAGCTCTGAGTCCATTGACCTCCCCCTCAGCCACCATGGCTCCCTGTCTGGACTGACCACAGGCACTCACGAGGTCCAGAGCCTGCTCATGAGAACGGGTAGTGTGAGATCTACTCTCTCAGAAAGGTGAGCTTTCCTGGAGACACTGATGAAATCTTGATCCCCACCCCTACCCTGCAGTGTGCCTGACCTCCACCCCATCAAATCCCTTGATTTCACTGTGAGTGCCACTGTGTAAAGGGAGATGAGATTGAAAGGACATAAGATTGATACAACCGGGCCTTTTATTTGCTTGTATTACCAAATTTGAAGAGGAATAAAACCATTAAGGGTAGGGGGATCGAATAATTAAATTTCTTAATATGAATGTATTCATTTATACCCAGTAGGCAATTTTGATAAAATTTAAAGCATGTATTTTTATACTGAATAATGTCTTCTCCAGATATTTTAATGATTTGGCTTAAGCTCCAAGACAACCCAAGCTCCTTATGATAATTCAAGCATTTTTAAAGACCAAATTTAAATGGATTCTATAATTATGCTCAGAGCAATATGTGAAATTTGTTTTATTTGTAATTCTATGAAAAAACTAGCAAAGGGATCACTGGGGAATTTTAGTTGACTTGTTAAAACAATATCAGTTGTCAGCAATGAATTCTTAGAGAAAATGATAACACCAGTGACAACTTTAATAGGCCCCCTTAAAGTTAATCATATTACAAGGTGTTTCCGACTGGTTTTATAAATTTTTTTTTCCAAACCCTTGACCTTGGAGTTATAATACTGCACTCCAACCTGAGCTAACTGGCCAGCCCCATGTTTTTACACTTACAGAAGAGATCATAACAAGGTATTTCTTACCTAATATACTTACTAAAAAGCATCACCGTTGTGCAAACCAGCTCTTGATTCTCTCCCTGCAAAAAATTCTTTCTCAGACATTTTGGTACTGACTCTTACCACCCCAAAGTGTTAAAACTGCCACTTTTTCTGATTAACTTAATGCTATTTGTTTCTTTCACACTTGAAGCTTTTAAAATAGTCCTGGCCACATGTCTTAATTGTGTTATTTGTGAAAAGCACTACTGGTCACTGAAAATGCTCAATATCTTTCCCTAAACTTTTTGTTTCCCTCTGACACATCTCCTTTTTTCCAGACTCCAGCCTTACTCCCAGAGTACAGAACCCAGAGCAAAACATTGCTTCTATCCTATTTTATTTCCCACTCCTCTAACAATGCAATAGGGACAGCCATGCAAATGGGACTTTCCCTCGATAAAAGAATTTTAGAACTAACTGAAATATTGGTGCTTGATACTTGCTTGGTGGGCTTCTAGTTACAAAATAAATTTTTCCTCACAAACTAAAACACTGGTCCAAGACAAACAGCTGAGTGATAGAAACTCAAATGTTATCTATTTTCTTTTGGTTTTGTTATTACAGACAGTATACATAAAAACCAGTAAGTATTTGATTTTCCATGTAAGTAGTCAGGCTTCCTATAGCATCTTAGATTCTAGTTTCAGCACTTTTAAGGTAAATGGACATCCTTACATGACATTTACAAAACTTCTAAAAGTAAATAATATTATATTGAAAATATATGGACAACTTGTGGTTTTAATGAATGCATCCTAGCTGTGTACTCATATGTGAGGAATCCAAATAACAAGCTAATAATCAAACCAAGCATGCTGCAAATTTATTAAATAGAACCACCCTCCAAATTCTGATTATTTTTTAATTATAAAGATGACTGCAACAAGGTGACCATTTAGCCATCAACCTGTGTGTTCAGCATCCAGACACTTACACATTCAGAAATGTAGTCAAATAGCTATTTGTAACCATGTAACCCAGATGGTAAGATTGATGAGTGTTATAGCTATAACTGAGATGTAGTTTTAATGTTTTACCTAATCTATATTTTACTTGATGCCAATAAAAATTTTCAGTATAGAAATACACTAGCAAATATGCAGTTACTTATTCTTTTTAAGCAGATAATTTTTATTATTTTTCAGTCTTTGAAATAAGCCAATTTTGCATACGGCAATGTTCTAGTATTAAATAAGCCTAATAAAGACTTTTTCTAAAATAAACTTTAATCTAATTTTGGATAAACGAATGTGTTTTGCCTTTGATTCTTAAAATATATTGATGAATATTAAACTATGAAAAGCAAATGTTAGTATCTCCATAGATATAGTATATAATATAATTATTAATTAGGTTCTTCCAGTAAATTACTGGATTGAAATTATATTTTATATAAAATGTTGTATTTTTTCTTGGGAACAGAGCTAAAAGCGATAGCAGTTCACTCTATTCCCTTAAAGTACGTTTAAGATAGTTTATGATCTATTGAAGAGAAAATTAGATCTAATTGGGATGCTGACTTAATTATAATTAATTGGTCGGTGAAATGTTAGGAATGCTAAGGAAACCAAAGAGCCATACCTGAGAGAAAGTGTGTTAAAGTGTAAATATTTAAGGCAAATTAATGAGAGATATAATAGAGATGTCTGTGGTTTTATGATTGACCTATTTATCCACAATTTTAGCTTACTTTATTGATATTCATATCCCAGTACTATTAAATCAACAGTTTTTCATACAGATTTTAATTTTTGTTTAATTTTTTCTTTATTAAGATGAATAAAATAATAAATAAATAATAAAACATGTTCTTTAACAGTTTTTCCTCTGTAGCTTCTCTAGATCATTAGTGACCCTTCAGCCATAACTAGTCCACATTTGTTTTAGGGTTCGGATCCCACATACAGACCGGCTGCTCACTGGCTGAGCGAGGTGCGGGCGCAACACCGAGGGTTGCGATTCCGTTGCCGGTCCCGGTCCGGTGCGGGTGTGACACTGAGGGTTGCGATCCGTTGCTGGTCACGAAAAAAGACAAAAAGGAAAAAATAAATAAATAAAATAAAAAAATAAATTAATTTTACTCTTTGCTTATCCACATGATAGAGATTATAACGAAATTCCCTAGACTTGTCCCACTTAGTTGTTGACGCTCTCCTCCTTGATTTTTAGAGGCCATTTCTCATTTTCTCTAGAGACATCTTTTCACCCCTTCCTATGACCAGTTGAGAATTCTTTAACGTAGAGATGATAAAATGTAGAGCCTTTTAAATATCTGATTTATGATTTCTAAAAGATGGTATAGCTTAATTTTCTTAAAATATTTAAATGATACCAGGAACATTAAATTTTTTAAGCAAATACTCATTATATGTTATTTTTCTTCTTATATATAAATGGAAATAAATCTGCCTGTATTTTTATTAAAAATAATTTGCAGAGAAAAGATAAGTATTAAACAGTATTTTACATCTCTGTCCATTAGAACTTGAACCTTAGCTTAGTCAGAGCAGATCTATCTCATTTTCCCTATGGTTTTCTTGCCTGTGAAATCATATCAAAAGTCTAGTCAGTTGCATCAGGGAAGGGAAAACTATAGTAACATTAGGCACAAAGAATATAGAGGGGATTATGCTAACTTCTAATAATCCTACCACTACATTATCATTAAATGGTACTGGGTTAGAAAGGAACTCAACATGTGTTACAGCAATAGACATCTTGTCACCCTTAGCTGGCCTTTTTTAATGAGTTAAGCATTACATATGTGTTACCAAAAAATTTTGTGTGGTTCAGAGAACCATTTTTGTTGGATGTGTAATTTGGAATTTTGTTTACATTATGTCCTTAGGGGTTTTCTTTGTTTTAACAGCATGCAGCTTGACAGAAATACACTGCCCAAAAAGGGACTAAGGTATATATTTCTCTCAGCACAACTGCTGCCTTTCTCTGTTGTTATGTAAACTTTGTGTGCTGTCTCTCTTCCACTTTCTTTCTTTCTTTGCAATGTAGCACCTGAAGTTGAGAATAAAATCACTTATAATCTTGATGTTTTCCCTGGCCTCAAGAGTTGATGAGATAGCCTGCAGGTAGAGGTACTAGTAGAGGTCAAGTTTGTGACTCAAATTAATTCCAATATAATACCACTATTTTGAAGTAATAAGACTTCTCATGACCTTGTTCCACGCATTGCTTTTTTCAAGGCAGTAATTTTTGATAGAATGTAGAACTCAGTGCTACAAATTAAAAAAAAAAAAAAAACTTCCCTAACTTTTGCATCTTAGAGGCATATGCTTGCAAAACCTCAAAACCCATATAGTCTACGGATGTGACTAGTTAATGTTGAAAGGTTGAAGGACACTAATTTGAATCAGAGAAAACATATTTTCATCATCAGAGGACAAATACTGCAGCTAAGGTAGGATATTTACAAAATCCTTTGACAAAAACTCAAAATAGTTTTTTAATTTTTATATTTCAGGGGTTCTGGTATTTATCAGATCAATTTAAATCTGAATTAATCTAGTATCATTTAATCTCAAAATGATTATTTAGTTCGTAATAAAAAATAAAATGAAAATTTAATTCATGGCCATCCTTTACTGTGTACTTTTATTTGAGGAGGGGATACAGGATGATGAACTAATAGACATATAACACTGTATGAACATGATAAATTGGCTGCTGTTTGATGCTAAGAATTTACATAACTCTGGTGAAACAGTGAGTACTGGCCATGCTAGGTCTTTCCCCATTATTCTATTTGAGGAGGGGATACAGGATGATGAACTAATAGACATATAACACTGTATGAACATGATAAGTTGGCTGCTGTTTGATGCTAAGAATTTACATAACTCTGGTGAAACAGTGAGTACTGGCCATGCTAGGTCTTTCCCCATTATTCTTTTTTTCTCCAATTTGTTAGCAATAGCAAACAGCTGGAAGTTATTCCATTTCAATATTTTGTTCCAGAAATTTACTTTCCAATAAAATGAGCACAACTTATCCCTCTTTTTTTTAATCCAAACATGATGTCAAATGGCATTTTAACCAAAAAGCTGTTTTTCCTTTTTTTTTTCTTTTTGTTTCTTTAAAGCTGTCAATTTGTGTTACATTTCCTATGCCTTTGTGTGACCATCATGCCACTTCCCTTGGCTTCCGACCTACAGCTGTTCACCACTTGTAGTCTGTTTTCACCCTCTTCATATTCTTCCATGCCCTGTGCTTTTGAATCCTTATCAATTAACTTGGCTGTCTGCTCATTGCTTATGATTTTCAACTTCATATCTCACAGAAGTATAATTTTCTTCTCAAATCCCTTTGTTGTTTTTCCTGCGTGATTCAAACAGATGGTGTCAGATCATCTGGAAGAACCGAGCCATTATAATTAGATTCAGTCTGTTTGAGATTGTTGTTCATTCTGAATAGTAAGCTCTTCTCAATTGTTTTCCTGTCCTGGTATTGCCTTGCCTTGTAGGCATGCCTAAGTGTCTTAGCTGTGCTGTTTTGCAGATACACCCCATCATCTCGGCAGGCCAACCAAGAAGAGGGAAAAGAGTGGTTACGTTCTCATTCTACTGGAGGGCTGCAGGATACTGGCAACCAGTCGCCTCTGGTCTCCCCTTCTGCAATGTCATCTTCCGCAACAGGAAAATATCACTTTTCCAACTTGGGTAAAATATTCTAAAACATTGATCCCATTTTGTTCCTTCCACCACCCTCCTTCACAGGAACCCTGGTATCCCTTCATAAAAAAAAAAAAATTAATGGGGTGATAAAGACACCTTAACAGTACCTTTTATTTATATGGTCATTTACTGTTCACAGAATAAGTTCCAAATATTATTCCATGTATTGCTCACAACAAATGTTTAACATAGGTAGTACTGTTGTTATTTTACATTCTGGTCTCCAGAGTCTCAGTGAGTGATTTGACTTGAAAATATTATCATCATTATTAAGGGGCAGAGGTAGTAATCAACCCCAGAGCATCTGATTTCAAGCCCAGGGGCCTTTTCATTCTATCTAAGAATCCACTAAGAACCAGTAAAACATTTGCTTATTTTTTTAAAATGTTAAAACATCCTTATAACAAAATTAATAATCTTTCTGTACAAAAGATAGAAAATTGGAATAATTAGAAAGAAAAAAATGTGATTCCATAACTCCAAGATAACTTCTTTCAGCATTGTTAAAGTTAAAACTTACCTTAAAAATGAATATAGGAATTTTTGTTAAAACAATACTCCATGAATATTTTTAGATAAATACAATGAAAAATAAATTAGTCACTATATTAGCCATTGGGTTACTTTGTGGTTAGCATCATTTGTATGAAATATAAAATCATTTGCATAAATGTCACAGAAAACACAAGGAAGAGTGACAGCATAATGAAAGAAGTCTAAACATGCCAGATTCAATGACTTAAAAATAGATTCTCTTCTATTAAGCCACAGAAAAATTAGTCTCATTTTTTTTCTCTTTTCACTTGAAAAAAATTCTTTTTAATAATATATCACAGAAAGTCCACATTCCTCAGTAATTTGAACTTTTCAACTTTCAGCCTGCTCAGGACTCAAGGTTATTTCTTTTCTACTGTAATTCTTCCCACAATACTAAGTAGGGCTTTTAGCAATTAAAAGCAATTATTTTGGTCATGGTTCCAGATGAGCTAATAAATTCATACCAAACACCAATTTTTTGTCGCTAAACCTACACAGTGATGAGACTCCTTTGCCCCGTAATGACAAAAGATGCATAGCTTTTATTTATTTTGACTTGTAATTAATAAAACACAGCCAAAAGCCTAATATTTTAACTTCAAAAAATGAATTGAAAATGTTTTTGTAGGGTATAAAAATATGAAACAAAATATAATTTATGAATCATCTGAAACAAACCCAAATCACCTAAAATGCTGTTTTCTAAATACCTCATGTCTCCTGTAAATTTTTTCATTAATTGACATTAATTTTGTTAGTTGACTCCTTACTCCATTTTTTTCCCTCTGTCATTATTCTGATTAAATCCATTTTTCTTTGAGAAAAAAAGAACTTACCACTTACTGTGTCTGACCTTGGTGAATTCATTTAACTTCAATTTTCTCGTCTGTTGAATAAATATATACTGCCTAGGTCATATTGTGAAGAATGGCTGATACAATATGTACGAAGACTGAGGAGTGTATCAGACTTGATAGATTCTGCCAAATCATTTTTAGTGGAAAACATGTCTTACACTGTCAGAGAAAAGCACTCATCAGATATGCCTGAACGTTGTCTGCATTTCATTGGGTGTGATTAACAAAACCATAACCACACAACTTTATGTGAAGGAGATTCACAGCTCAGATTTTTTGAAAGACTAGTACAGAACTATAACATTCAAATCAAGGACTCATGTACCAAAAATGACAACTATTTGCACAGAGGTAAGTTTATTCCAAGGTTTGCATAAATTGAAGTTAACATGGCAGTGCAAGCCAACATGTCCATGGCCACAAATGTGTTTTAAAAAATTGGTATATAACACACTCGAGAGTGCATTTTATTGCATAATTTTCAAACAGTTGAAACAATTAATAAATGAAATGTGAATTACCCTTTTACTGATAACGAAGCATCTCTATGGAACTTTAATGTTCTGTTGACTTGAATTTGAAAACCACTGACCAAGTACATCCCTTATATTTTGTTGCTATAGAAACCAATAATCTGAAAGGTCAAGTTTATCTTTCTAGGACATGGATTCCCCTCTTTGCCCTCTGTGCTTTCCACCAGAGATCTCTCAGCAGCATCAAACGATACTGCCAGTTGTTCCTATCAAAGCACTTCAGACCCTAACTTTAGTTATACGACCCTCTTGCTTCTCTTCAGACTTTTCCAACTATAATTTTTTCTCCAGCATGACTCATCTTAACATAGCTATCTTATTTATTGTATAAACAAGGTCATTTTTGAGAGTGAAAGGGACTCTATTAATAATTGCTCCAGGCATTAGGTATTAACCCTGGTCAATGTAATTCATCCTCCCACTCCTCCTCCTATTTATGTGTTTTCCAAGATTTTTCTTAGACTTTTTCTCATCCCTAAACACACTTACTATGTTCTCATTCACAACTTTAATTCTTACCTCTCAAATCAACATTTCTCCTTCTCTCTGAGATATTTTTGAGGTTGAAAACTAAAACCCCATCAGTGTGCTAGACCACCTAGTCACCTCAAACCAGTCTTTTCTTTAGTCTTTTATTTCCCTTATAATTTCACATATCACCCTTCTCACAACTACTCCAGTGCAAAAATCTCAATATAACAGTTTTACTTGAAATTACACCATCCACCCATTCATACTGTACATTTTCAATAGACTAAAAACTGATTTTATCTTCAAAATATTTCTCTCTCTTTTTCAGCGGCACTGTCCTTGCTCAAGGTTTTTAAACTCTAGGCAATTGCAGTAGATTTCAAGTTATTTTGACTGCTTCCACTTCCATCTCTCTCAACATTTTCACACATTAGGAGGTAGCAAGAAAGACGTACCTATTCATATTAATACACAACCATGTGCCTATCCAAATTTTATAAGCATATGTGTCTTCAAAGCAAATATTCTGAGATCTCTATGTTTTGTTATTTTACAAATGACTAATTTTACAAATATGAACACAATTTTGCAAGAGTTTTGATTGTATTTCCAGATCAACTGTACTCGTATTTATTGGGTGAGAAATTGGGTACTATTGGAATGCAATCATAAAATTAGTTTATTACTAATTTTTATGTATATAAAATGTAACTACTTAGTTTGAATATGGACAGCTTTGTTCCTATATTTGTCTTTGGACTTCACCTGTTTTCAATTTGATTATTATCTTTTCTGAATGATTAGTAATATACATGATTATTACTAACATTCAAGAGTTGCAGTATCCATGTTTTCTTTATCTATCATTTCTTTCTATTAAAAAGGTGCTAATATGTAAAAAGGTGTTAATATGTAAAAGTTTTAGAAATATTACTATATAAACTTATGTATAACAAATATGAGATTAAGATCACTATAATTATGTCATTTTTGATAGACTACTGTGAGCTACTGCCAAAGTAAACTATGGTTTGTGTATTGTTCCCCGCATGCTAGCTATAATAGAAACCATTCTCACTCAAAATGAGTCTTTGGATGAAACTACTGGTCATAGCTCTTGTGAGGCATTTCACAACCTGGTGAGACTCATTGACTGATGTGTCCCCATGAGTGATAACAATTGCTCAGATTCGTTTTTCACCTTCCTGCAAGGGTTACTATTTGGAAGCATTAATACAACCTTGTCACTTCCCAATTCTATATGGATCCTTCCACATACAGAGTGATTGTTAAACACCTTTGCATGGGAATAGTTTCTATGCTTTTGCTCTCAAGCATCCCTTCACCTTGAATGCTCTTCTACTCCCCTCTCTATATTCACACTTCAACCTATTCAGAATGAACCCCCTTTTTTCCCTTCTTTTTCTGTTGAACCCCTTTCTTCTGTACCCATGAAAGCACAGAATCTCACAGATGGAAGAGATCCACATTTGGTTCATTCATTCATCTATCATGTAAATTATTATGATATTTCTAGCTTCTTCTCTAAACCTCCCAATGACAGAAACTACTTAAATCTAGAAATAACACACTTTTGAAGCTCTTCCTTTAAAAGATCAAATAATTTTTTCCTGAATCTTTACCTATTGTTCCTAGTTGTATACCCAGATTACACAAACTAAATTAAATTCCATATGACAACTCTTTTCTTTTTCATTTTTATTTTTCTATTTTTATTTTTTGCAGATGTTGAGTGTTATATCATCCCCTCTACATTAGTCTGCTTGTGTTGCTTATAACAAAATACATGGAACTGGATATTTTATAAAGAAAAATGGTATTTATTGCTTAGAGTTTCTGAGGCTGGGAATTCCAAAGTCCATCTGGTGGTGGTGACAGTGACTCCAGAGGTCTCACATTGCAAGATGGTGGAAACAGAGAGAGCAGAGAAAGCAAAAGCCAGACTCTCCTCTTCTTTTAAAGCCCTCAGAACCACACTCCTGACCACCATTTTTAATTCATTCACTAATGCAGGGTCATACAATCCAATCACCTCTTCAAGGCTCCACCTTTCAGTTTCCATAATAGGATTTCCCACCCTTTTAACAGTCACGGTGGGGGCTAAGTTTTAATACATAAGACTTGGGGGACACAATTCAGGCTTCAGGGACTTTGGGGGGGACATAATCAATCCACTACACCCTCCCTTCGGTAAATATTTAAAACTATATCATAATCTCACTAGTTAATGTCTAGCTATAGAAGCAAAGGAAGGGAGTACCTACCTTTAGTACCTGGAAATATCTAAAAACCCAGTACACATTTCTATCAGTTCCTGTTCTCAAATCACCACAAATAAAAATATGTTAATAAAAACAGTGCTTTGCTTTGCAAATGAAATGCAAGAAAAGGTCAGTAGTCCTCTTTTTCCTGAAAGATTGCCACATCTATTTCTCTTCTGTTTAGAGATTCTTGTGTAACTTCTGGCTTTGAATGGATGTTAGAGAGCATTTATTCTGCCAATTTTTTTTTTTTTTTTTTTTTTTAATTCATGAAGACATTGAAGGGTAGAGATTGGGATATTTAACTGAAGCAAATGGAAAGCAAAACCACCACTAGAAGTCCTTTCCCAATTTGTGTTCAATTACAGAAACTCTGTTTGTGTTACTTTTTTTTAATGAAACTTTTCTTGGTCTGTTTTCCATATTAACTTTTCTATCTTTCAGTCACCTCTTCTAGTGGCCGCTTTTAAATCAGGGACTATATCATATTTATCTTTCTACTCAACTGCAACATGCAAAAAGCAGACCTGTCGTAGGTACTAACAATTAAACATTCTGAAATAGTTTGGGGGTATTTCCAATGCAGAAACCTTCAAAAGTGTTTGTAAATGCAAACTATTCCCTTTAAAAGCTATCCTAATTCTTACTAATATTTCACCTTGAATGAGTTAAGTGTTATGTTTTGAAATTATACGAGGACACTTCACTTGAATATCTCAGCGATCATTTGGTAAGAATTGTGTAAAACCAAACAGTGAATGAAATATCCTTCTCACCTCTAGATAAGTATATTAAACTGATGCACTTGTGTGACATACTTCATTCCTTTAGACAAGAGTCAACTCATGGTGGATCTAGAGTGATTTACCCCAATCCAGGTACCTTAAACATTCAAGTCTTGAGTGCCCTACCTTCTGGCTGTTGTCAATAATCAGAATGAACTGAGACTAATGATTGCTGCTGGCTGACGCAATATGCCTGAAAAAGAGATAAATTATTTCTCTTTATTCTTTTCCTCTTTTTTCCCTTCTTTCCATTTTTTCTTTCCTTACAACAGATTGTTCACTTTGTAAAATTATAGTGTCTTCCTTTTTCATTATATTTCTCATGTGCATACATAGGTGTGATTCATAGTCCTGTTTCTTTTCACTCAAATCCATAACTAGCTCTATCAGAGGGTTGCTCGGTGTATTAATACAGTTAGTACCTGCAAAATATCAAGCACAGTGCCTGGCAAATAAATTTCCCTTCTGTTACCTCAGGGTACACCCTTCCTATTTTACGTTATGTTAGAGCCAGTAATTATATGAGTTTATATGAGTATTAAGAAGCGTAGTGCCCGTGTCAAAGAAAAAAAAAATAGCAAATTTTGAAATAATATCAGGCCAATTCCAAGCCAATGTCACGCATTCCCCAAGGTTTTGAAAGTACTCAGTAGTTCCCTTCAAATCCTAAGAGGTTCCTGCCCGCTTCTTCATATACCGGTAACAGACTTGCTTTTCTTAAAGGAGCAAATATGATAAATACGTTTCTCCTTCTGCTTTGCTTTTATTCCAACTTTCAAAACTGTATTGCATTCCAATGCAATTTTACATTCAATCAACAACATCTTTCTTTAAAATGATGATCATCAGTTGGCCTAAAAAGGTGAATTCCATTAGAACTATTTGGCAATAGGCCAAGTTTTATTTCAAATTACAGACTTAAGGTACATCTTTAGAAATACAACATGTTTGTGACTTCTGACAGTTTCACTGTGGTATTCTTGTCTTAGACATAGTAGAACGTAGTTTTATGTGATTAACCTTATGACAGGCCACAGATACTGTGTATATTACATTATATTTCATTTAAAGAAAAAGTTCATTTTACTCTTCCTCTTTATATCCTAACTCTGATAGTAATGGTGATTTTAACCAAGAACGAACACAAATTCAAAACTCAAAATAACTGAAAAGTCTTTTCCTGGAAGCATCTAAAGTGTCTTATTGGGAAATTTGGATTTTTTTATATTTTACTTTCTTTTTGATTTTGTTTTCCCCATTCAAGTGGTCATAATTTTATAAAAAGAAACCTGCAGACTCTAAAAAGACAATATTTGCTATATAACAGGAAGCAGAAAATACCATGTTATACTATTTCCAGCATGAACAGTAGAGGTGAGGTGGTGGTTTTGTTTACTATTACTTTAGAAATTGACATAATGCTTGCCATGAAAGTGCCGGAGGAAAAGAGGAACTCTGTGGCAACTGTTTTTGAACATTTCAGAGGCAGACTCTTGGCCTTCCTTAAATACAGACACGTAATAAATTCATGTTTCCATAAGAATTGAGATCACATGCTCACTTTCTCTCCACTTACTATTTTCATCATTCAGGACCTAGGGTAATAAGCTGAATGTCCTTTGTTTTTCAGTGAGCCCAACCAATCTGTCGCAATTCAACCTTCCTGGGCCCAGCATGATGCGCTCCAACAGCATCCCCGCCCAAGACTCTTCCTTCGATCTCTATGATGACTCTCAGCTTTGTGGGAGTGCCACTTCTCTGGAGGAAAGGCCACGCGCCATCAGTCATTCCGGCTCATTCCGAGACAGCATGGAGGAAGGTAAGTGTAGGGAGGAAATGAAGATGAAGTTACTCATTTAACTCAGAGAAAAACTATCACCCCACATCACCACAATTCACAAAGAGAAAACATATGAGTAAGTATAATTCTCATTTGGGGAACCCTGAAGTTTGAAAAAGTTTTATTCTTCATTATCTTCTGTTTCTTTATAACATTTGAAAATATGCCAGAAGTTATTTAGATTAATACTTTGTATAGATCAGTTTAGAATAATGTTTTCATACAGAAATACATAATTTTAAGGACTATTACCCACATGCATCAAATGCCAGAGCAAATGTTTTGTTTGACACCTTAATTAAAGAGCCATGAAGATACACAAACCAGAAAAATTGTCTTATGAAGCTATCACGTTACTGACTTTCGTTTTCAAACTCCCTCTGGTGTTAGCTTTTTATCATATTTTAGAATTCATATTGTACCTACTTTCTGCTTTGTAAGTCACATTTCTTTATCTAAAGGCAATGAAATTCTCACCTGACCTAATAAATGTCTTTATATTTGCACGGTTCTATGAGAATGCGTTAAATAAATCTATTTGAAAAGGTTAATTGATGTCCCAATGTATATATTTTTCTAAACTATATAAACTCGAATGTCAAATTTGCTAATAATAATTTGAGAGACTTTCGTCTTTGATTTGATGAATAATTTTTTTTTAAAGACCCATAAAGAAAACTTGTGACATACATGCGAAGGGTTTTCAAAAAGTTCACGGAAAGATTTGTATTATCATTTAATTCCATTTTTCCACAAACTTTTTGAAGTGCCCTCATGTTATAAAACATGTCAGCTAAGGATAAAATAAAACTAAACATAAAATCAAACATGAAATCAGCCATACTATTTTAGTCCTTAATAATTATGTATAAAAGAAAGTTCTCCAAGCCTTGAAACATACTAGGGTTTAAGCCTCTAGCCATCCATTTATTTGTGGTATGAATTTAGGCAAGTTTATTAACTTTATTAGCCCCGGTTTCTGCATCTGTAACTTCATGGTTTTGTCTCAAGAATGGCATGAGAGGAAAGAATACAGTCATTCTGTCCCTTTATCTTTTTCTTTCCTATCTTCTTATTTATAATCTTTTGACTAACAGTATAGGCAGCTGTGAAAATTGACTCATGTTTTTCAGGTCAACCTTGTGCATTTAATATGCTAGCACTTCCTCAGTTGACCACAGCTGCCACTACCTTTTGGGTTATTGACCAAACCACTGAGTTTACCATGACAGATCGTGAATTATACCCAATGAGTTTGCTGATTGCTAAGTGTAGACAGACCAAATAAAACTAATCTGAAATGTAAGGTCATTGCTTTTCTAAAATGGTTCCATCATCTCTCTTCAATGACAGGCCTCTTATAATACTTCATAAATAATTTACTAAGCATACAGATGGCTTTCTAGAATGCTTCATTTACAAATAGAATGTTGTTTATATTCTGGGAAATTCTGGCCTTCTGTGTAGAAAGATTAAATAATCTGAATTGCTGAAAGCCAGCTGAGTGGGCAAGATGACTTTTTGATGCCCATCAATTGAATTCTGAACTGTTATAATGTTTAAATTGTGACCTAGAATCAAGGCATTATTAAACTAGATTGAAGGGACTTTATTGATGTCCTGTCCAATTGCTCACACTGACAGATAAAAAGACTGAGCCACATGCTATAAGGTCATATCCCTATAAATAGTAAGTATCAGAAAAAGAATGAAAATGGAATTGCCTGATTCATTGTCCACCTTCCTTGTGGTACACCAAGCTAACACTTTTAGTTCATGAAAGTGTTATTAGAGATTGAAAAAATGTTGCCTTTAAAAAAAAAAAAAAAAAACTGACTCAAAGACTAGTATTTTGCACATCTCATACAGTGGTAGTAATTGCCCAAGTTAGAAACCCGAAGGTTGTTCTTCATTCTTCTTTTGACCCTCATCTATATACTCAATTAGTTTTAAAGCGGTTCTTCATCTCTCAAATTCATCCCTTGGTTTTCATCTGCCTTGCCAGGGTCCTAGTGCAGCTTCTCCAGCCCTTTCCAGGCTGAGTTATAAGCACCTCCCATATGCTCTTGTAGTAACAAACATATTCATGTCAATAGTATTTATATTACTCTATTGTAATTATTTTTAAAACTACATTTTCTACTTCTGTTTGAGCTCCTAGCATTGTGTCTTATTTATTTTCTAGTCCCAGGATCCAGCAAAGGCCTGTCACATTGTCTATGCCCAACTAATGTTTATTTACTGGACTAAAAGCAGAAGTAACTATACAAAGGTACTTCAAAAAGTTGGTGGAAAATAGAATTAAATATAATATGAACCTTTCTATGAACTTTTTGAAGATCCTTCTTGTTTTTTCCATGATGAAAAGAGGAGTAACTTTTCTGTAAATATAATTAAGCACAATTTTATCTACCTTTTGGGTTTAATACATTGGAAGTGAAGAAGTATAAAACAGACTGTTAATTGTTTTAGATGGTATTTTGATATACTGTACCTAGATAAAAGACAGTATGCAATTTCCATTCTTGATTTTTGTAAGACACCAGCCTTGAAATTAAAGGTGTTTTCTATTGCTAGAATTACTAAAAAACAAATAATTCTGCATTTAAAAGAGGATTATCAACTCATCACAGGTAACATTGAAATAGCAAGTTGGATAAAACGTTTCTTTCCTTGAATGTATATGGAGAAAAATTCAGAAAATGAATCTTTGTTGTCTAAAAATGAACTTAAATAAATAAAATACATAAAGTTTGTTTAAAGTTTAAAAGTTTATGGAAACTTAGTTTGGTTTCCATGATTATCTATTTATTATATGGGAATTAACTATAGCTTTCAATATGTGTGAAACATGCTGGTAGGGCTCATGTTTGAAAAACTATAGTTGAAAAACTATAGTTAAACTATTGAATTAACTATTGAAAGCTATATGTAATTCAACTTCTGTCCATAACTTGGTAAATGAGGTACTTTAATGAATGGGTATGGGACTTTTCCATGTTGCAACACCTTGATTTCCAAAAATTTATAGCAGTCTTGTTCTCAGAATCTTGTGCTTGGGCTGGCCGATTAGCTCTGTTGGTTAGAGCATGGTCATGATAAAACCAAGAACCTGGGTTTAATCCCTGTGCCAGCCAGCCTGCACAAAAATCAAAGAAACAAACAAAAATAATCTTGTAGTTAGTGAGCTATTATTATTTTATTTCACCAGCCACCTGTTTTTTACGTTTGCAGTAAAGGCCTGGGGTTTATGAGGGAACTTCATTATTTTAACTCTATTGTCCTTTCTGTTTTCTCCAGTTCACGGCTCTTCCTTGTCACTGGTCTCCAGCACTTCTTCTCTTTACTCTACAGTAAGTATTGGCTGTTAAGAAAAAGCTTCTGCCTTTGCTGGGCACACAGGTGATTAAATAGATCGACATTTACAGAGAGGCTGTGCAGTAAAATCAGGACATACTCTAAACTGCTGCATACCGGATAAGCTGGCAGGTACTTTACCTGCCCTCCTGTGGTCCGCTGACATGGACTTTCACTTGGCTTTTGTGCACCTATTATAATCAATGAGTGGTTGGAAAAGTGAATTTCATAAAACCTAATGGGTTTTGTACTATGCTGCACCAAAATTTCATAATATTGACTAGTTTTACTTGTTTGGTTCTCTGAGCCATGGCTCTTAATTATTCTATAATTTTTTCCCACTTTATGTTTTAGGCCAAAGTATAAAGGCCTAAAAAAACTAGAGATTAGAAATGCATATTTTGAAATAGAGTGTGATTTAAAAAGCTTTATTTCTTAAGAGAGGAATATCAGTGTTCCAACTTCTTTTCCCAATGCATGAAATTATAGCTTCTTTTTGCCAAGATGAATTTTCTGTCCACTTCATATAATTTTGGATTTTTCAAAGAAAATGTAGTCTACAGTAAATTATGTTTTATGAAGGAGTTCCTTCGTGCCTCGGTTAAGAGTGAAATATATTTAAAAGCAGTTTACTGAATCTCAATGAGATTTGAGTAGTATGGATATTCCTCAATCCTGTATTGATAAGTTCATGAAAAGGTCACAGTCTCAGCTGTCACTGAGCAATTAAAAATTAAGCGCAAAACAAATTTTTTCACTCATTCTCATTAGATTCAAATGTTCTAGCCTTCTGTTTGTAAGTTAATCTAGCATATTTACTGCTTTTAATAGTTGCTCAAGATAAGACCATCTTTTGCAGAGGTGGTATTTTTATTTCTCCTTTTAATGATTAAAATTGCCAGTATGTTGTACAAATGAAGAAATCA